AGATGTTGTGTGTCTGTGCATGTGTGTGTGTCTGTGTGCGTGTGTGTCTGTGTACGCGTGTGTGTGCGTGTGTCTATGTGTGTGTGTCTATGTGTGTTGTTGCACGACTTGCGTTCACCCGCCCCACCCCCCTTTCCTTCATCATTCCGCGTTCATCACTCACCGCCGGCTTTGTGCTGACGAGGAGGAATTTCCCATCGCCCGAGAGCTTGAGCGACATGATGGCGCCTTTTGTCTGGGATAATTGGGCGCAGAATTGAACGCGGGTGGTGCGGAGTGGTCGGTGGTGGTGGTGAGGCATTCACTTGCACGCGCACAAACGATGAGGCACACTCTTGCACGCACACTCTTGCACGCACACACGCGCACGCACACACTTGCACGCACACTTGCACGCACGCACACACGCGCACGCACACACTTGCACGCACACACTTGCACGCACGCACACACACACACACATTTCGACGACAGAGCGCTGTGTGGGCACGTACGGAGATGGAAGCCTCCTCTTCAAATGTGGAGAGGTTGAAGATGTGAATGCGTTTGTCGTGCGCAGCAACAATCAGCTTTGTCTCGTCTGGTGAAAACACGAGCTGGATGCCCCGGAGTTCGCGCCACGTGTGTGTTGGGGACTGCAATGCTTCCTTCGACGCAAAGTACAGCACGCGCTGCACGCAAAGCAGGACAGGGATTGGCGTCACTGGTGTTGCCGTTATTGGTGTGTGTGTGCTGGTGGTCTTGGCGGTCTTGTTGGCGGTAGCGATGAGCATGAGACGTGGCTGTCAGACACACATTAGCAGCCGCTTACACGCACGCACGAACATACAGACACACACACACACACACATACCCCGTCTGCACTGCTGCAGGACGCAAAGGCGTTGGTGGGTCCAAATGCACACACGCACGGGCCCTGGAACGTGGCGGAGCATCATCGTGGCAGGGGGAATGTTTCGATGCGGGTAGTGGTGATTGGGAGTGGTGTGAGGACACGAGCAAGCGCACAAGAGGTGCTGAGTATGGCAGTAGGGGGAACGGGGTGGAGAGGGACACACTGCAAATGGCCACATCACGCAATGGGATGGCACATGAACACGCACACGCACACACACACTCACTCACACACTCACTCACTCACTCCCGCTCACTCACTCACTCACACACACCGCGGAGTGGTGGGACCATGTCTGCGACACTTCGCGCGTGTCCATGTTGTAGATCTGAATTGATCGTGCATCCTCATGGCCGCTGGAGCAGTCATGCAGTGATGGCAGTGGTAACAGTGATTGATGGTCATGGTGAGCATGCTCATGTCGTCATCGACCAACGATAAAGAGCACACACACAACACACGCACGCACACACGCACGCACACACACACACACGCACGCACGCACGCACGCACGCACGCACGCACGCACGCACGCACGCACACACACACACACACACAACTGCACGCACACACACACACACAGACACACACGCGCGCGCGCACGCACACGCACACAACTGCATTGGCTTACATTGCAATGTTCTGGCCATCTGGTGCCCATGAAATGGAGGCGACGGGGGAAGGACAGCGGATCTTGGCCACGCGTTTGAAACGTTTCAGCGTATCAAACACAGACACAGACTTGGATCTGGTTATGGGAAATGTGGACAGGGTGTACGAGAGCGAGCGCAAGAGTGGGGGGGGGGGTACAAGAGAGCGTGTGGGTGCCAGTCGTTGGGTGGTTTTGAAACATGACAAGCAAACATGACAAGCAAACATGCACATGCATGCATGCATGCAGTCAAATTACCAGTCGACCAGAATACATACAGGCAAACAGGGCACAACATGTGCACGCTGCTCACCTGCCCGCTGCAGCAAGGTACTGGCCAGTCGGAGAGAATTCGACAAACCAGATTTCGTCCTTGAGTGGTTTCAGCTTGAACAGCAGCTTGCGAGGTATGTCTGATGGTGTTGGGATGAGGAAGATGGTGTTGGTGACAGTGAGAGGGGCGGTTGTACGAGTTGAGATTGTTGACGTCAAGGTGATGTGCCACCAACAACTTCAGGATCACGGCAGCGAAACAAAACAGCCAATCAACACAAAACACAACACACAAACACAGTGTCACAAAAGTTCAAACACACACACCCAAACACGGACAAGTCGCAATGTGCACATGACCAAGTGCGTACCGACAGGGCGCTTGTCACCGAGGAGAGAACACGGGCCGCTGGCGTCCGAAACAGAGAGGCAGCGCTGCGCATCTACAGCCTGATTTCATGGCAAAGAACAAGAGAGGGGGGTGTCGATGCAATGTGGGAGGTGATGCAGTGGAAAGGGAATCGAAGTGGAGAAAGAGAGTGTGTGTGTGAGTGAGTGAGAGAGAGAGTGTGTGTGTGTGTGTGTGTGTGTCAATGAGAGAGAAATGAAAGTGGCCAGCAGGGTGTGTGTGTGTGTGTGTGTGTGTGTGTGTGTGTGTGTGTGTGCGTGTGTGTATGTGT